CTTTCTCTCTAATCTCAGCTTGATTCTGCTCTATTACAGAGGATGGTATAATCGATGAAGAGTATCAAGAACTCATTCAGACATTCACTACTATCATTCACATTGACGTTGTTCCTCCTCTGATTCGTCTTCTCAGACCCATTGATTTTCTTTACCATGGAGCTGGTGTTTCCAAGAGACGCGTAAAAAAACACAACTAAATCTCTTTCTTTCAGATCTTTGTATCCGTCTCTGTTTGTGTCACTTGCTCTGTTTCCGCCTCTGTCTCTGTTTATGTATTTTGTCTCTCTCTGATCTGTTTTCAACATTTACCAGGTTGGGATCAACGTGCTCACCCAAAAGCACGTGCTGCTTCTGATATCAGACCTAGAAAACATCGAAAAAGAGCTCTACATTCTGGAGTCGCTCTACACAGACGCATGGCAGCAATCATTCGAGATTCTGTGGGTTCCAGTTCAAGATTTCTGGACAGAAGCTGACGATGCCAAGTTCGAGTCTCTTCACTCGAACATGAGGTGGTACGTTCTCGGAGAGCCACGGAGGCTAAGAAAAGCCGCGGTGAGGTTTGTGAAGGAGTGGTGGGGATTCAAGAACAGGCCTATACTCGTTGCACTTGATCCCAAAGGTCAAGTTATGTCCACCAATGCTTTCCCCATGGTCTGGATCTGGCAGTCCTTTGCGTACCCTTTCACAACCCCGAGGGAACGTGATCTATGGGGTGAACAGGAGTGGAATCTTGAGTTCTTGATCGATGGCACTGACCCCCACTCCTTGAACCAGGTTTTCTTGATTGATGAAAAAAAAACAGAGTATTTTGGATAATCAATGTATGTTTCTTGTGGTAAAAGTAACCCGAAAAAATGAGTGTTTTGTGATATTCTTATAACAGCTTATTGAGGGGAAATACATATGTCTCTATGGAGGAGAAGACTTGCAATGGATCAAAAACTTCACGAGTCTGTGGCGCAATGTAGCGAAGGCCGCAAACATTCAGCTCGAGATGGTTTACGTAGGGAAAAGAAACCCTAAGAACGGAATCCAGCCGATAATCAACACAATCAGAGACGAGAACCTGAGCCATACGTTGCCGGACTTGTTCCAGATCTGGTTTTTCTGGACGAGGATCGAGAGCATGTGGGAATCGAAGCAAAGGATGCTGAAAGCCCACAGAACCAAAGGGCGAGAAGGGTTTAAAGAAGGGCTTAAAGAAGGGGAAAAGGACCTTGTTCTACAAGAAATCGTTGCTATGTTAGGTTATGGAGGAGAAGGAGATGGGTGGGGACTGGTGAGTAAAGCTTCGGACTTGATGGTTCGAGCCAAAGGGAACTTGTTCTCGACGGGTTTGGCTGAGTATAACCAATGGGAAGTCAACATTCCCACAAATGGTTTTCTAAAAGCTCTAAATGATCATCTCTTGATGCGTCTCCCACCACACCACTGCACAAGGTTCATGCTTCCAGAGACTGCTGGGATTATACCCAATGAGGTCGAGTGCACCGAGTGTCGTAGGACCATGGAAAAGTATTACTTGTACCAATGCTGCCTTGAGTGAGATCCGAGACTATTAGGGAAGAAGTTGATTTGGAAGCTTACTTCTGAAACATTCCAATAAAACCACAGTTTGTCTTTAATTTATTTTTCTCCTTCTTGTTGTGTTTCTCTGCTTCATGTTGTTGCTTCTGCTCTATGAAAGCAGAATCTTTGTAATAAAATTTGTGTGTTTCTGACTTGGATAATAATAAAAGTTTTCGTCACCTTCATTTACAAACAGGTTCACAAGAATTAGAGAATTGGGAGATCATGAATACGACAAAAGAATAGAAACATGGTTTGCTTCGAGATGAATCTCCTTTTCTAAGTTGTAAGATATAATATCGTCACAGTTATTAGCCCGAAGATGCACTTGTTGTATTTTTTTATGTCATCTGTTTTTATTAAAAGTAAGGACCAGAGTCCATATTACAACCTGAACCAATACATAACCGAGAACTGAAGATGGACACAACCTTCTTCAATCAAGATAGACAACGAAACTATAAGTTTAGCATACAAATATCATATCAATTAAAACTAGCAACAGATGAGAGAGTTTTTTCACTTACAAAAACATCAGTTAACCAAGATGGAAAACCTCTTGCCACATAAGAGATGCACTTGTCGTAAACAACTGTTTTTTTTTTTGTTTAAATAAATTTTACGTTCATTTAAAAAAAAAAAAAGTTTCTGGAAAAGTGAAATGATTGAGCGTTGTTCTTTTTTTGTTGATTTATTGACCCTTAAGCTTCTAGAACAATAGTTAACTAAAAGAAGCAACTGACT